TTGCCTGATGTTTTCTTCATAGTTAGATTGCGGTGTGGGGTTTTTGAAAGATTTCTATTGCTTTTAAAATAAAACAAATCAATAGTAAAATATAAGCAAAAGCCAGATTAAATTACTACCAAATTTCTTTACCTTTTCTGCTCCACCTTTCAACTTACAGTTATCAACAGCCTTTTTTTCCCACTAGGTATCATTCTCTGTGCCAGGAAAAAGCATTGGTGATGCATTTTAAAACAATTCCCTACTGGGTTATTTTTCCCCCCAAATCACTGACCCTCTTCTGCTAGCTCTGAAGCTGTCATTTTCTTGACCTCATCTCTACAATAAATCAAAAAATCAGCCGGGCATGGTAGCACATGCCTATAATTCTGGCTACTTGGAAGGCTGAGGCAGAAGGATCCGGAGCCCAGCAGGTCAAGGCTGCAGTGGCCGGGAGCGGCCACTGCACTCCAGTCTGGGTGACAGAGTGAGACTCCAACTCAAAAAAAAAAAAAAAAAAAAAATGTTTTTTTGAACATCTTTTTTCTCTTGTAGTGTATTGTTAGACCTTGTAGGACACAAGCTTCCATTTTCTAGAAATCATCATTATTAACATTTAATTAGCATTTTCTGTGTTAGACGCTATTACTGCTTCGATCATGTTTAAGAACCCTGTAAGATTAGGTACAATGATTTTTCCTATTTTGCCAGTGAGGAAACTGAGCTGCACAGAGGTTAAGTACTTTGCCTTGTGCTTATAAGTAGCAGAGCAGAATTTTATTTCAGTTTCCACAATCTGTGTTCTTAGGTCCAGAAACTTAGTTTGACATAAAACAAAATCGTTAAAAAGATAGCAAGGGTAAATAAATCACATTGTACTTTTTCCAGTCCCCTTACCTGATTTCTTTTAGGATCTTCCTGGCTTATTTTACGCTTCTTCTGTCGACACTTTTATGGCAGAAACTTTGCATGGCAGAATTTCACTGTGATGGTAGTCTGAAGCAGGGAGGCTTGGAACACAAGCATCCTCTTGTAGGAACAGCCGCAAAATGTGAGAACTGGGATTTCCCAAAATGTAATTATGGGAGAATTATTTGCATTCCCCCAAAATCTAGTACTTTAAAATGATTGCAATAGTTGATTTCCTTAAACAGGAAGCTGTCCCTATCCTCCTCCATAGGACTTTTAAAATATTAAGCAAACTAGAGTTAATCTGCAACATTGTGTAAGCTTAATTGTTAAAGATGGAAAGTTTGTTAAGGTAGCTACATTTTATATACATTTTCTTAAATTGACATTTTAATCATATACCTTCTGAAAATGAAGAAGTAATATATTTTGGCAGAATTTCTGATCAGGCTACAATGTACATAGTTTCAGGCTGCTATAAATCCACAAAGAATTTTATTGTATGGCAAAAAAAAAATAGAAATCTTATTTTTCAGTTTTATTTTTCCACTTCTGTGTTCCCAGTGGAGCACAAAGACTCCCGAAATACGTGTATGATGGAAGTATTTAATGTGCATTGAGAGCCAACACATGCACCCAGGTCTCGACATCTGTTCCAATTTGTAATTGACTGTAACAGCCTATGCTTTATGCTAAATGACTGTAATCATAACAAAAGATATTTTTTAATTGCTCATGTAACCATATGTCTTGGATCATGGCACTGTCTTTGGCTTCTGTATATGTTATTTTTCTAGTATTTCAAGTTTCTCTCTTTTTTTAACCACTAGGCATAATTGAATTAATTCATATCAAGGAAGGAACTGAAAAGTTAGCTCTAAGAGACTCTGTTACAACAAAACAATTTAGGAAGACTAAGAATTTGCCTTTGTTTTCTAGAAGTGAATTCCTGAGATTTATTAAAAGAGCATTTTGTGGACCTAAGATAGTGACATAATTTGCAGGGTCAAGCACAAAATAAAAAGGCAGAGTCTTTCATTTAAAAAACAGGAAATAAATTTTCATGAAAGATACTAAAATATAAAGCTTTTTTCTTTTGGGGTCTCTCCTTTTAACTTTTCATGACGCTATTTTATTTCCTATTTAATGTAATTCTGAGTAAAGTTAAAATTTTAAATTATTAGCATGAAGTTTACCTTATGTCTTTATATTGTGCAATGCCAGTTTTAGATGCATTATGTGAAAGTCATTAACACCTAAGTAGAATTTCTGAAATTATACAATTTGCATTTGGTAGTCTATATGTGTGTATGTTTTTTGTTCTTGCTAGAATAGTAAAAAAGCTACACAAACCTCATTCAACTTTGTATATTACTTTTTGATATGTTCACAGACTATCAACACTCTTTTGTTCACTTCCTAATGAATGAGGAAGAACAGAAAAGAAAGGGAACGATGGGTTGCCCTGTCTTTCTCCTTCCGTTGTGCCATCATTTTTGCAGGCTAGTGCATGAGTAAGAAAGGATATGAAGAGATTCTTCGGTCATTTTTATCTCTTCAATGCCATTGCCTTCTGGCCAAGTACAGTGACTCACGCCTGTAATACTAGCACTTTGGGAGGCTGAGGCAGGAGGATCATTTATGCCTAGGAGTTCAAGACCAACCTGGGTAACATAGTGTGACCTCATCTCTACAAAAAATCAAAAATTAGCTGGGTGTGGTGGCATATGCCTGTACTCCCAGCTATTTGGGAGACTGAGGTGGAAGGATCATCTGAGCCCAGGAGGTTGAGGTTGCAGTGAGCCGTGATTGTTTCACTGTACTCCTGGGTGACAGAGTGAGACCCCCAACTCGAATGAATGAATACATACATACATACATACATAAATGCCATCGTCTTCTTTGTGCATCTGAAGCAAGTTCCGAATCAAATAGAACAGGTGGCCTCTCGGAGCTCCCAGTGTCTTCCTTCCTTTTACGTACCTTGTTCTATCTTCAAATGTTGCTGAACTTCTGCACACTGTGGTTCCTTTGGAATGCTATGCTAATGGAATCCCTGAATGCCACAAAGAAGTGAGGAGACAAGGCACTGCAGATGTGCGCATTGTTCCAGGCACACCCTATTGTCCCATTAGACTTCCCTTGCAAAACACAAGTCCAAAGATAAAAGTATTACGAATCTCAAGATGGGGACAACAGGGCATTCAACCAAGCATGAGCCCTCCTGACCTGGGGCCCTGTGTGACTTACATGTCACAGGTCTGTGAAGCTGATCATGCCCCAACGATCTCATCTACAAATTGGGGTCACCATAGTATGTGCCAGGAAGGATTGCCGTAAGGAGTAGTTAGGTTATGAGCATAAAGTTCTTAACACAGCATCCTATACATAGAAAACACTTAGTACACGGTAGTTTATTGCTCTTTATCTCAAATAAAGTCAGGAAATGGTCATTGTATTTCTACTGGGGAGCTTGTTTATTTGATTTGGGTCAAGTGTTTCTTAAGAGTCCCACTAAACTGGATGTGCTTTCAAACACGTGGGGCCCTGGAACAGAATGAATGCTTCTTTATCTGTGTGGTGGGCATGACGCAACTGTACGATAATCAGGCAAAGCTCTGAGGTGAGTTCAACAGGCTGCCTGGGTTACTTTATTCAGTGGTAATTACTGTGGCAGGTTATAGCAAATAGTGCTGTGCAGAGTGTCCAGAAAAAGACAAAGGCACAAGTCATTAAAAGTAGTTGAGTTGCCAGGTTGTCTCCATCCGAAAATGAAGTCAGCTCTGTAAAGCCTCAGGCAGAGAAGGCCTCTCTGTTCCAAACTCAGAGGGGAGAGATTTGAACCCAGAATGAAAACAAAACAAAGATGTGAGGTCTGCCTGAGCAAGCAGGGGTGAACTCTGGTTGACTACAGCATCCAAATGAAATTTCATAGAGAAAGAGTTTCAGGGTCCAGTGCTCTTGAAAAAAAATAGTGAAAAGAATACTTATCTACCAATACTCATCCATCTAATACAGCTGCTTATAAAATGCTATTTTGTATGCCCAATACATACTTGATTTATTTATATATGATTAACTAACCATCTTGAAAACAACTTTAAAAAAAAAAAAAGATCAACTGATAAATGATTAGTCCCTTGAGTTAGCATGTACTGATTGCTTTAACATAATTTTATTTAAAACTTAAATATTTTAAAAGAGATTCTCTACTTATTTACATTTAAATTAAAACTATACCAACTTTTAAATTGTAACTTAATTTAAAAATTGATCATTAAGATGACTGGATTTAAAAGCAGGCTGAGAAATTATACAAACAAGATAAAAATTAGGAAAGACATTATAAATATTTGTGTTCCCATAAAAGTGAGAGACTCCAGATCATGTGACAGGTGAGACCCATGTGTCTTGAGCAAGTATGATTTTCCTTCTCTGGTTTTGGAGTATTGGACTTGACATACTGTGAGGAGCAGGTGGACAGAATGGACATAACCTAGCTGGGCTCAGTGGCTCAGCCTGTAATCCCATGCCTTTGGGTGGCTGAGGTGAGTGGATTGCCTGAGCCCGCGGGTTCGAGACCCACCTGGGCAGCGAGACCTCATCTCTACAATAAATCAAAAAATCAGCCGGGAGTGGTAGCGCGTGCCGGTAATTCCGGCTACTCGGAGGGCTGAGGCGGAAGGATCACCGGAGCCCAGGAGGTCGAGTCTGCGGTGGCCGGGAGCGGCCACTGCACTCCAGTCTGGGTGACAGAGTGAGACTCCAACTCAAAAAAAAAAAAAAAAAATGGACATAATCTAATTTTTAAAAAAATCTCCTTGCAGTGAAAAGGATTGCTGAAAATAGAGTATCAAATGGCAAGACTCTCTTAAGACTTCTCCTTCACCCCTGCTCATTCAGTTTTGAAAATCTGGATTTAATTTCCATTTTAAAGGCTTGATGGACTTCCCAGGAAGTATTAACTTTTCACTGGGTCCTGTGGCTCAGTAGTCCTGCCGTTACAGAGAATGACTAACTCCAGAGAATGCTGAGTCAAGACATGGGTGTGCTGCCTCCCGGACTGGTTCTTAAAGGATTTTTCTGATAAATAATGTTGTCATTGTTTCCAGATGCAGAGCCAAAATATCTCATAGTTGTGAGACCTGCTCCCCCTCCAAGTCACAAGAAGTCGTGCTCAGGTATGGTTCCTTTCACTGATTGTTTTTTCTTTTACTAACTTTAAATCGTGACATTTCATCTCTCTTCTACTCATGGAGAGCAAATACCTTGGAAAATGCCTAGGAATGTGGGGTAGATGATGCAGGCGCTTGGTCAGCAATTGACCCCGCTGGAGAAGTCACAGGGCCTGGTGGTGGATACTGCTTTGGGATCTGCCCCAGGTGCCACCACTCACAAGCTACAGGGATTTGCACAAGTTATCGAACCTCTCTACATCTGGATTCTGCTGCGTAAGAGTGTTGTTGTGAGGATTAAATGAGTTAATGACAGCGCCTGCCTGTAGTCAGCACTCACTGGGTTTAGCTCCCGTTAGCCTGTTTCTATTTTGCAGAATGTGGACTCATGCTCACTATTGTGCCTTTCAGATTTCAAGGGCAAAATTTTTTGTCTAATCTTTGCTTATGGAGATGCTTTACATTTTTAAAAGGATAATTCATGTATGTGTGTTAAATGGATCAGGGAACTTAGGCTTTATTTACTCTTTATCTCTCCCTTCTAAACATCTTCTGTATATGACTATACAAACATAGAGGAAGGACCCCTTTTGTAAAATAAAAATAACAAGAGAAATGCTCATCTTACCAGATCTAGGAAGACTTGAAGCAGGAAAGTAGATAACATATGAATAAATAGAAACAAACTTCCACATGATTAAAGGATGATTAAAACCCTACATGTCAAATTTCACTACTAACATTCTCAGGTCAAATGAACTGACCCTTGCATAAGATCCCACAGAAACTGTGAATGTGTTTTTCCATCGAATGTTCCATCTTCCTAACTCTGTAGATAGAGTTATCACAAAGTTTTTTTTTTCTTTTTCTAATAGAACCGATATCTAAATAATTATTTCTTAATCATATTGATCATTTATGGTATACTGGATACCACACACATGAAAAGAATCTTTTTTGTTTCTTTTCTGTATTTTTCTACAGGGATAAAATGGGAAGGAGAGCATTGGGTTTCTGTTACACTCAAAGAGGGGCCCTTTGCTACTCTGTATTCAGTCTCCTAGATGTATCAGCTTAAGCCTGGTGGCCAGAAATCAGTTACTACAATCCCCTCCCCTCCTTCTGTTGATTTCCACTTCTTTGAAGAGCAGAATTGGATGGTCAAACATTTTTGAAAAATACAAATTCCTTTTTTGTGGCCTCTTATCCCAAAACAAAAGGGAAATTTTAATCCTTCCTTACAACCTGTTAGTGAGAGTTGTCCAGATAGTTTTTACATATTTTAAAATAAACGTACTCTCAATACTTTAAGACTGTATTTCTGTTGAACAATACAGTCAAGAATCATGAATACGGTCACATGGACTGTGTTTTCATAAGAATATTCACTGCACTGTTTCTTGGTACACATATGAGCATAATACAAATATACAAAAATATACAAGGAAAATCAAGAGAGTGATTATACCTTAGTACCACTTTATAACTTCATTTCATTTTGAGGATTCTATGACATTGGCTTTAGAAATTATTTTTCCCTTTGTTAGGAGCGGCTCAGGAAATTGTTTCATCTTACTCAGGATATAATACCCCACCTTTCCTTTCAGGCAACAGACATAATGTTTGTTTTTGTATAATGTAATGACTAATGAATTAACTTCCACTTATTTTATATTTGCATCTGACACCTAAATTTTAATTATTTAATCGTTTTTGTATTAAGATTCAAATTTAGTAAAATAATTATCTGTTGGTCATACAAGCCTTTGGTTCCCTTGGGAAAAGAAAAAATGCATCTTTCATTTCTAAATGTCATTATCATCAAACATTGTGGCTAAGCCAGTGATGTAGTAAAAATAAAACTACATTATGACTGAGGAGACCTAGATTTGAGTATTTACTTTGCCCTTAGTATAACTTTGGACGTGCTTGAAACTTCTCTAGGGTTTATTTTTATCTGTAAAATGAATGAGATTGTTGCATAATATTAGCGAAAATCAACTCAAGGATGGAAAAAGGAATGTCAGAACCACCTCAGAACTTGTTCAAACTATATATGCCCCTGACCCTTATTCCAGATTCTAATCTTCCCTCTTTGACGTTTCCACAGACAATTCAAATCACCATCATACAGGGCACTATTACTGGTGGGTCTGGAAAAACTTACAATGAAAGATAAGCACATGTCTACAACCAAGTAAACAATAACTATCCTTGTTAATAATCGCAAACATCTTTAAAAAGTCAACTATTCTACAGTGCAGCAATTTGACCCCACTAGGTTAGGTATATTCTGTGCTCAGAAGGTTTCTTGCTAGAATAGCAATTTACAGAATTGAAATCTAACAGAAACAACAAGCATGGCATAACTTTCATGAGGATTTGAGTCAGATAACCACAACAGATAACAGGTACTCTCCTACCTACCTTAATAAAAGTCACAGGTTGTTTTACTGTTTGGCTTCTACACCATTAGATTAAGATGGTGTAGGTTTTTCCAGTAGCAAACACAACATACATAGTCTCATGAAAAGAAGAAATTCAATAGAAAGACAAAGCACGTATGTTTTATGTTCTATGTAGTTTTATTAGGCTTTATTTAGCATTTTTGTTTTATTTACTCTGGTTTTTTCTATGAGCTGGAATTGGTTTCCATGGCTGAGTTTCTTCCTTCCTGTTTCTCACTGTCCTCTCATTTCTGCAGCTTCAAATAATTTTGAAAATACAAATACCTGTCCCTATATACTTGAAAAGGACCTGCAGTGGTTCATGAACATAATTCTTGACATTGACCAAATTCAGTGGTCACATCAGAACAACTGAGCTTTCTGCATTACTCTTGCTCTTCTAGCATTGTTAAAAAACATGTATGCCTTTCCTATTTAAGTACTCACTATAAAATATATGCTTACTACAATAGCATTATGAGTGTTTAAAAAAATATATAGCCTACAATCTAGATAAGATTGCTTTTCTTGTCTTAAATGTGATTTCACGTGAATTCATAGACCCAAGAAAAAAAAATACGTATGCTTTTACTTAATCTGTAAAAAAAAACAAAGTGAGGTGTGTGTATGTATACATATTTGAATACATATATATGTGTTTATTTATTTCACTGATAATAACCAAGATCTCCATATTCATCCCTGATCCACAAGAAAATAAAAACTAGATATGGTTGAATGTTGTTTATATGCATATACATATAGTACACATGTATGCATATATACATATATCACACAACTGTATACATCCATACATCTTAAAAGCATTTTATTTAATTCACATTTAAATTCATGGGCAAAAGTATTATGGACTATGTGAAAAGAAAAGAAATTTGATATTTTCACACTTTTCATCACCTTGCCAAGTTATCTTCATGCATTTTATACAAATCGTGGCAATGCACCAAATATTTCCAGAATTAACCTGTATGCTTCCTCCATAGGTAAAACTCGTCCTCGCAAACCTCTGCAGCTGGTGGTTGGCACTCTGACACCGAGCTCAGTCTTCCTGTCTTGGGGTTTCCTCATCAACCCACACCATGACTGGACATTGCCAAGTCACTGTCCCAATGACAGGTAATTCACTGTAATGGAACATTGTCTTTTTCCTCTGAAAATTAGCACTTGCTTTTAATAGTATCTGTACATGTTTTAGAAGAATGTATAAATATCAAGACTATTAGCAGCACTGACTTAGCATCTATAAGTTGGGCAGCCTGCTCTTGGTGTGAGGAAAACAAAGATAAGTCAGAGGCCCTACCCTTGAGAAAGTTGTCATCTGCCTGACTAGAAAACACTTATCGTCTTAAACCATAAGCTACAGGGAGAAGGAGCCAGATGGAAAATGGGTAGTATCACTGAGAAATGTAATAAAAGCTCAGAAAAGGGGGCTGAGGGAAGTAAGAAAAGACTGTTGAAAATTGGAAAGTCAATTAGAAAAAGATAGATCTTTGATCTGACAATTGAAGAGGTAGTTGAAGCAGTAGTTCCAAAGTATGGTCCTCAAATCAAGCAGCAGAACCATCACCTGAGAACTTGTCAAAAATGCAAGTTCTCAGGCCCTTCTTCAGACTTACCAAATCAGCAACTCTGAGGGAGCAGCCTAGCAATCGGTGTTTTAACAAGCCTTCCAGAGGATTCTGATGCCCAAAGAAGTTTGAGGATCACACTGGCTTAAAAAGATACAGGGAGGAGTGTAGGCCAGGGAAAAGCACAGGGTTGGGGATGAAGCTGCCATCTTCTCTGGAAGAACAAATAAGAAAATCTAAGTACATTTAAGTCGGGCTTGGTGGCTCAGCCTGTAATCCCGCGTCTTTGGGAGGCTGAAGTGAGTGGATTGCCTGAGCCCGCGGGTTTGAGACCTGCCTGGGCAACGTAGACCTCATCTCTACAATAAATCAAAAAATAAGCTGGGCGTGGTAGCACATGCCTATAATTCCGGCTACTCAGAAGGCTGAGGTGGAAGGATCGCCGGAGCCCAGCAAGCGAGGCTGCGGTGGCCAGGAGTGGCCACTGCACTCCAGTCTGGGTGACCAAGTGAGACTCCAACTCAAAAAAAAAAAAGAAAATCTAAGTACATTTAAAAATTCCTGCCATTCATCCATCTATCCATCCATCCAACCAATGCATATATTTGGTGCTGTATGGTAGGCACTGTGCTAAATGCTGAGCCATTATTCAAAGTTGGTTATAAAATAATATTTACTTATCATAAATATTTATTATATTTGCTTCAAAACTCAGAAATTTGCATCTTAGACAAGCATTCTAAATTTTCAAATTTCAGCCAAGCCATTTTATTTTTAAAGTTTTCTATTTTAAATATATTCAAAGTGATTGTTTTAAATTTTAGAAATTCTTATCCCCTTTTAGTTAAAAAATTCTATTGAGGTATAATTTAAGCACAGTAAAATGCACATAGTTTAGTGTACAGTTTGAGTTTTATGACAAATGCATATAACTATGTATCCTATACCCTTCAAAACTAGAAGATTTTTATCACTCCAGAAAGTACCTTTCTCCAGAAGCAACCACTGGTTTGATTTCTACCACCACAGATGATTAGTTTTGCCTGCTCTAAAATTCTATATAAATGGAATCATATAGTGTGGGTCTTGCTTTTCATCTGTCTTCTTTCATTTTTGAGATTCATTCATGACATTTCAAGTATCAACAGTTCACTTCTTTTTTATTCCTGAGTATTATTTCATAATACGTATATTTTGAAGTTTTTTTCAGTCTCCTGCCAAAAGACCCTGAATTTTTTGTGTATGTATATTTTGGTTTCTCTTAGAGGAATGTCTAGAAGTGGAAGTGGAATTGCTGGGTTACAGGAAGATGTATATATATATATACATATATACATACATGTATATATGTATATATATACATATATATACACATGTATATATATATACATATATATAATTATATATATATATAACTATTTTTTGCCTAATTTTTCCATCTACATTCCCACAAGCAATGTATAAGAGTTCTGGTTGCTTCACATTGTAACCAGCATTTTTTGTTGTCATAATTGTCCATTTTAGCTATTGTGATGTATTTGTATCTCATTACAGTCTTAACATGCTTTTATCTTGCAGGAAAGGTTTTGAGCACTTTTTCAGGTACTTTATGACCATGTATATTTTTGTAGTGTTTTATTTATTTTTATTTGTCTAAACTGAATGAAAATGAAAGACTTTTAAAAGTGTAAGTCCTCAAAAATACCTCTCATATGACTTTGATTAGGCAATTGAGACTGAAACAAAATCAAATTTTCCTTCTTGTGTCCATGGTTCTCAAGGGATAAATACTTGGAAAAAGGCATGTAGAAGTTATTTCCAAAATCCAATTTAAAAAAATAATAATTTTGAAATGTTTCAAAGAATCTGAGATATTTTTATTTCACTCACCACTCATCCCATGACTTATTTTGTTTGGAAAATGGACTCGTGACAGAACATGCTTTCTTGCGATAATTTCAGTTTCTAGTGGACTGATCCAGGTTGCCAATGCTGAAAAAGTAAACATTTATGGGTTGCTTTTTTTCTCTTTCAATTTTTAAAAATTCTGACATAAAGAAAGAAGAAAAAAGTTAGAGATGGAGAAAGGAAGAGAAGGAAGTAGAAAATTTGTAGTTTTTATAGCAAAATACAACCTGCTTTTAAGGGTTACTCAACTTGCTTGATAAATCTGTAAGACTACTTGTTTCAGTAGGTTCAGTAACCTGGCAAATTCATATAGCATAGTCTGGATATAGTTTTTTTTTTCCTCTGCCCTCAAGCCTCTCTTTCAATTTCACCTTGTCCTATTGACCCTTCTGTGAAAAAATTTATCTGATGACTGATTCTAATTGATAGATGTTGCTAAGGTTTGATAGCACAATGAGATAATGGATATAGAGGTTAGGATAGATGACCTATGGAGTTGGAATTTTAACCCAGGCGGTTGACTCTAGGGTCCAAGCTATTTAGACCACACACAGATCTCACCCTCACTCCCTTGCCCACACACCCTGGCCTTACTTTTCTCACAAAATAGATTGAGTCACGCACACCAACATTCAAAAGAGATAATTTTATTTTGAAAAAGATTTTTTGAAAGATACAATAATAACACGTCATGATGCTTGCATACTTTCAAATCTGAATTGAGTGAAAGAAGCAAAGTATTCTTGACCAAAACAAAGAATTGTTAGGACACGATTTAAAGAGAAGAACCAAAGAGTAAAGACTAAAGAGCAGTTAGTAAAGGGCTGACGTTTCAAAGCTTCAGTGGTACTTGAGGAAAAAATAGTTGTCCTTATTTAAAAGCTCTGGAAATACTACACACATTATAAGCACCCAAATAAATCTATCAGGTCTAAAAATGAGTGTCTTTAGAAGAGGACTTGGAGAAATCTACCCTCATAGGTTCATGCAGATTTTTTCTTTTAGAGTTTAGACTCATCCAGTAGGTTAAAATAATCAATAATAGCTAAAGAGGATGATTACTTCTTAAAAACTGGAAGATTGAAACACCTCATTTTTCTTCTGGAATATCTTCTTTTATAAATTTATTTGTTATTATTTTATGTTAAAGTTGTGTACAAGTCAGTATTCCATACATAATTGGTGTAGGTACAGGTGAAGTTTTGAGCCTTCTATTGGACCTCGCTTTACCTGGATTAGGATCAGGCACCCTTATGGATATTATGTGTACCCACCTCCCCTGGCAGCGTCCCGCTACTGACAATCCCTGTTTTGTAGTATGATGATAGATGTTCAGGGTCCACTTATGAGTGAGAACATGTAGTACTCAGTTCTTTCTTTCTATAATAGATAACTGAGTATGGTAGACTCCAAATCCACCCAAGTTACTGAGAAGTCCATAATTTTGTCCTTCTTTACAGCTGCATAATATTTCATCATGTATATGTACCACATTTTTTTTTATCCTGTCCAGTTTCAATGGGCAACATGGTTGGTTATGTGTTTTTACTGTTGTGAATAGTGCTGCAATAAACATGCACACAGGTATCTTTTCTGTAGAATGATCTGAATTCCTCTGGGTATATTCCCAGAAGGGAGGTCGCTGGGTCATATGCTTCAATTCTAGTTCCTTTAGAAGTCGCCACACTGTTTTCCATAGAGGTGGGATAAGTTTGCACTCCCACCAAGAGTGTGGAAATATTCCCTTTTCTCTGCATCTTTGCCAGCATCTATTGTTTTATTAATGATAGTCATTTTTACTGGGGTAAGGTGGTATCTCAACATGGTTTTGACTTGCATTTCTCTGATGATTAGTGAGGTTTAGCACTTTGATTTGAATTTCTCTGATGATATGCATTTTTCATGTGTCTGTTGGCTGCTTGTATATCTTTTTTTGAGAAGTGTCTATTCATGTATTTTGCCCATTTTTAATGGGGCTTTTTTTTTTTCTTTTTGGCATGTTTGAATTCCTTGTAGATCCTGGATGCTAGGCCTTTGTTAGATATATAGTTAGCAAATACTTTTTCCCATTCTGTGGGCTGTCTCCCCACTCTCTTGATGGTTTCTTTTGCTTTGCAGCTTTTCAGTTTGATGAGATCCCACCTGTCTATATTATCTCTCATTTCAAGGACTTTTAGGGTTCTGAATAGGAATTGGTTGCCTATTTCAATTTCCATAAGGGTGTCTCCTGCATTTTCTAATATTCTTTTTTGTTTGTTTGTTTTGAGTTGGAGTCTCATTCTGTTGCCTGGACTGGAGTGCGGTGGCCACTCCCAGCCACTGCAGCCTCGACCTGCTGGGCTCCGGCGATCCTTCCCACTCTGCCTTCCAAGTAGCTGGAACTACAGGAGCATGCTACCACGCCTGGCTAATTTTTTTTATTTATTGTAGAGGTGAGGTCTCACCAATTTGCCCAGGCGGGTCTCAAACCTGTGGGCTCAGGCAATCCACTCACCTCAGCCTCCCAAGCACGGGATTGCAGGCTGAGCCACCGAGCCCGGCTTAAGATTCTTATAGTTTGCAGTTTTACGTTTAGGTCTTTGATCCATTTGGAGTTGATTTTTGTGTATGGTGGTAAGTAGGGGTCCTGTTTCATTCTTC